CAGCAATCAGACTGTACAATACATCACTGCAGGGATAAGCTAGGTGAAAGTATGAGGGACTATGTAATAGTCAACTGAGGTGCAATACTCAAATTCTGGGGTAAAATGCATGGTTAATATGCACATATGTAAATTCTGTTCTTGATTATTCAAATACTTGATTCTGTCTATTTTTGAGTACTTGGAATTTATTCATCAGGATGTGTGTGAGGTGCTTGTTCTCATGGTGTTATGCTGTCTGTTCTCTATTGCTGCTTGAAGTACTGAAATTTGTTTATCAAGATATGTGTGTGGTGTTTGTTTCTCATGGTGTTATGTTGTTTGTTCTCAATTGCTTCTGAAACACTGAAATTTCCCCATTGAGGGATCAATAAAGTACTTACCTACCTAAAAATTGTTAATTACATTCCATTATTATTTCTTATAGGCTGCAATGGACACACAACTATTTAGGCTACATGGGTTCATCATTTATAAAGTAAATGATTATGCAGAATTTTTACTTTACACAATCTTTTTCAAATGCATGATATTATATTATATTATATTATATTATTAAACTAATCTAGAAAAAGTAGCATGGTTTTATGGCTGTTCCCTTGGTAACAAGCAAACCCGTGCCCTTTAAGCTTGCAATCGTGTGGACCGTACCACTTTGCAGTGGTAGGGGTGATGTAAGGTGCTATACTTATAAAAATACCTCTTTTTGCCAATAATTGAAGCGTTCTGTCCAATTTCATGTATCTGATATTGTAATGATTTTTGTATTTGCTGTAAGTTATTCCAAATATCGCATATAAAATTACTGATAGTATAACAATTCCCAGCGCACCCAGCAAAACACCCTCATCACATTAAAACTGACAGTCGCACAGTAAGCTGTTAAAAGCTTGTTGCTCAAATCTGTGCTGTACTACAAAGTAAAAAAGATATTAGCTCGGACACGTAGCCGAAATAACAAGCTTCAATTCTGCGAACAGAGCATGAACAAAATGGACTGCTGAACAGACATTTCGGGATCACTTGACATCTTGTTTTCGTTAGTTCAGTTGGGCTGCGGTGTCGTCTGTCCTAGCTGGTGCGTGATTGCTGTATCCGTGATGATGAGGTAAGCAGGTACACGCCTCGGCTAACAGTATGGCTAACATAAACTAATACATGTTTCTGTTATTGTTCTGTCACGTTATAATGTTAGTCCATGACAGCTGTGCCTCTGTTTAGCTGTGTGTTATTTAGCTAACTGTTATATACGATTAGCTAGCTAAAGTAGCCAGGGATGAGACTAAACCAGACCTTTTAAATAACAAACTGTGCAAGCAAGATGTAGCGCAGTGTTGTCAGGTTAGTTGACTGTCGCAGTACATTAGCAGACGTGAAAGAAGTATTAAGATACTTTTCTTAAGTAAAAGTAGGCTACTACGTCACACTGTAAATACACCCAATTAGAAGTAAAAGTCCTGGATGGAAAATGTTGCTCAAATGAAAGGATGTAAGTATAACTTGAAACTTTAGAACGTAAAAGCTGAAAAAGGACCACTGTATTATTGACCCAATCATGTGTAAGCAGCGTTTTAAGGTTGTACAATAGTTGGTGAAGTGGAGCTATATTTCAACTATTTTATGTATGAGTGCAGATAAATAACCTAAGTATTATTGTAATTATGGGTTAAGCTCCTGATAATATTCTGGTTGTTTACTTTGTTAGAAGAAATCAGAAAATTGTGAGAAATGCCATCACAGTTACCCAGAGCTCAACACTTAATGTTCCCAACTAATAATAATACAAAGCTCAACAGAAATAGGTATATTAAAAATAAAGGCAGCAAATCGACACATTTCAAAACTATGAAATGTTTACTGGAAAAATGACTAAACATTTATCAAAGTTGTTCACAATTAATTTGTTTTCATTTTACTAATCATTTCATCTGTGCTTACCTTGTAGTTTAGTCTATAACAAAGCATTATATTTCAGGAATTCTTCATATGTTTTGTATGTCAAACTTTAGTTTTGTAAAGTAACAGTACTTTTAGCTGTCAGATCAAATTGAATGGAGTAAAAAGAACAACATTTCCCTCTGAGTATAATGTGGAATGAAAAGAACAGCAAATTATTACTAAGTACAGTGCTCAAGTAAATGTGCTTAGTTATATTCCACAGGGTTTTTAGGAATCACAAGCCAATATTGTATAATTTCTGTAAACTCTTAGTTTGTAACCAGCAACCATATCAGTCAGATAAATGTAGTGGGGTAAAAAGTAAAATGCAGCACACTACCGAAATATAGTGGAGTAAAAGTATAAAGTAGCATAAATAGAAAATACTAAAGTAAAATTCAAGTACCTAAAATTCGTACTTGGGTACAGTACTTAAGTAAATTAACTTTGTTATATTCTGGCCCCATATTAGTGGTATTATGTTTTCTTTTTTCATTGCTGAAGCTGATAAACATAGCTGTACATAGAGTACATTTTTAATACATGCAGTACACAGCTTGAATGAACTGCAATATTTTACTGAAAAAGCCTTCTCCAGGATGCCTTACAATCACTTTTGAGAGTTTAGCATCAATTTTTGGAGCTGTCATGTTGAATTTTCCTTTAAATCTGTTTTGTTTGAGACATTACTCATCAGAATCAAAATGTGCGGTAACTATATGAATCCTGTCTGTTTTTGCTAAATCTCATAACATAACATTTTAAAACAACACACTTATTGGTGGATTTTGCAGAACTGTTGAGAATAATGGTGCTAGACTTTAGAAATGTGTATTACCAAATATTACCATTTTTTGTATAGTCTATATAAATAACCTTTACATGAGAAAATGTAAACACTCATCTTATTGCTTGCATTTTCGATCTGAACTCAAAAGGCAACTGCAGGTTCATTTATCTATTTTTCAAGGTCAACCCTGATGTTCCAGTCTGAAATGAAAACAAACTAAGTTGAAAAACTGGCTTGCTAAGGTGTTGTAAGTACACAAAATTACTGCATAACATAATGAGATTGTTGTGCAAAAGGAGTTAGTGATAAAGGCCTGTGTTTACTTAAACTGTACAAACTGTGGAAAGATACTGTATGGTTTATGTTTCGGATAGAGGTTTGTAGAATGCTAATCTAGTCTACACTTACACATCATTACTGTAACTCATTCTGGAGGCGTGGATCTAGCTTTGAATTTTGTCTTCTCTATATGCCATCAGATATTATTCATAGATAAATGTTCAACTGCCAGCAGTGGCTTTCTCCAAGCTGTGCATCCAGTTTTTACACAGAACATCAGCTTCTGGTTTTCTATTGGCCAATATCTGACTGGGAGGATCTTCCCAGAGGCCGGCTACCAGGCAGGAAGGGGGTGGCTGGAAATGTGGACGGACAATCTGCTGTTACTGTTGTGACAAGAAAATCGTTGCTCACTGAATCCACCAGACAGAGAGGAGGATAAAAGCTGTTGTTTTGGTCTTTGCCTTAACAAGTTAGCTGCTCAAAAGTTGCAGCTGTAGCCTACATTGTTGGTCGGGGACAGAAGTTGTTCAGTACTGCATTAACTGACAGAGGTGGGTTTTCTTGCTCCATTTCCTGATTTGCGCCTGAAGGAATTTGCTGCAGAATGTTGTGGGATAGCTTGCTGAGAGGCTGTTACACTTAACAACAGCAGAGTTGTTTCTGAATCAAACCTTTTGGGGCCTCTTACATTTGCAGACCACATTAATTGCTCTCAGGGGATAAACTTTTCTGCTCTCATACAGATTTATTCAGCTCTTGGGTTAACCACTGTTTCTGCCTGCTCAGCAACTTCCTGTGTGTTTTACCACTTAGTATACAGCTCTGACTATTCTGTCCTGTTGATCTTAGCTTAGTCTGTCTGTCCTTTTAATCTGTATATGCCTTAGTGGGCCTAGAGTCAGCATATCTGACTGTAGCTGTTTAGCCCCAGGTGTTTCTATTGATGAACAGAGTAACAGCAATGGAAAATAGGTTGTAATGAGCAGAGAGAAAGTATACAATTTATCATGGTATATGTATGATGCATGAATCCATTTTAGCGGGTACAGGTTTACAAAATGTATTTACAAATGTAGCATAACACATATTGTTCTATGGGTTTAAGCTTTGGAAATTTTCTTCTACTGTTATCAATTTATTGATTGCCATGGCACGACCCCGCTATACATTGCAGACTAGCACAACAACTATGGCTCTGTGTTTGTAACATGCATATTTTATTGAAGAAGTGTGCCTGCAGAAATGTGTTGTGTTTTATATTAGTGATATATGCAGAGATAGTGTTGCATGTATTGTTATACACAGCTTTTGTAAAGATCAGAATGGTCATTTGAAATATTGAACATCTGTATTCTTTGCAAATTACTGTATCCACCCATTAGCAGTGTGAGGCTGGAATGAGACTTTACTGATGTAATGTATGCTTTTGCCCACAAAATGATGGGGAAATGATCTGGTTTATGGCTGAACTGACTTTGTTACTGTGTGTTTATGGTTTCTTGAACCAGACTGTTGGACAGTTGCTCAAAGCTACTGAAGAAGACAAAGGGCTATCTGAGCTAGCAAGCTAACTATATGCCAGTGAGCTAATTAGCTTGATTGTTTACTGGACATTTATATTGTTTACTCTAAATTAGTGTTACCTTGGGGCTGATAAACTTTTTAAAAATATTGTATTGACTTTGCATGGGAGAATGTGAATTTCAAATCAGACGTCTTGTGTCTGGCATGCTTTGCAGGCAAACAGAAGAAATTTCTTATATCCTGTTAGTACTGAAGGTGAGGGGACTTCTGAGATTTAATCTTTTTTTTTATCAGTTAACTGCTAGTCACTGCAAGTTAGTTAGCAAATTACTGATTTGAGAGGCAGAAATAATTTTTAAACACAGGCAGGTGTCAAAGTACCGTGGCTTTATTGTAGTTGGTTTTATTGGGCTTGTCTCTTGAAAATCTCACATGACTAACAGCCACTTTATTAGGTACAATTACATGAAAGTCATATTTTTTTATTGTTTGGCCCGATCTGCGTTTTGTTGTAAACTCTAGAGAATGAACAGTGTCTAGAGAAAAAGATGAAATTTTGTGAGATGTTATGACTCTTAAGAAATAATCAGATACAGTACAATACAGTAGCACTAAATACACCTACTGTAGACCAATTAAACAATAATTATAATAATTATGTACATGTGCTTTTGTCTTTCAGATCACCAACAGAAAGTGCCTTTAAGAAGATATCCCCAACTTGAAGTTAGTCTGTGTACATGGCCTGTCTGTGCTTTCTCTAAGGCCAAACTCAAGAACCAACAAAGGATACCTCAGATGCAGGCCTGTGCCACCACTTGGCTTGCAACTTCAGCTCCTAAGAGTGCTAAATTAGAGCTATAATATAAGAGAATAAGAGGGCAAAGAATAATGACCAGAGAATGGCTAAAATAACAAGTCTGCATTGAATTTCCTTCGCCTATCCCTAACCATCAGTTGTGGAATATACACTTGAACTTGAAGTAGAAAAAAAACCCATACATTTGTTGGGCTTCTCAGTGTTTGACCAGCCATCTAATGAACCTGGAGGACTCAGCAGGTTGTTTTAACAGAGCACTTTGTACATACACCACCCTACAGCTTTTAATGTATGAGGCACACAACAATTGGATAGACATTTAAAATTTTATGTATGATTTGGACATGGCTTTGAACATTTCTTCAGTAAGAGACACAAAATGGTTAACTCTGGAAGTCTGTCGACAGTTTCAGTGGGGAAACTGTTCTCGTAGTGATGAGGAATGCAAATTTGCTCATCCGCCAAAGAGCTGCCAAATAGAAAATGGAAGAGTTATTGCCTGCTTTGACTCACTGAAGGTAAGAAATGCACACACTGTATTAACTGTAACAGCTCTGTAAGAACACTTTTCCTTTGCAATAAGGAGTGCAAAACTTTAGTTTTTCATCCTATAATTTTCCATGTTGTCACCTGTGACTCTAAATGAATGGCTTCTCTATGTGTTATATCTAATAATACATGTTACATGTTATTTTAGATAATGCTTTTACACTTTGGCCATTAATCATATTGGTTATGGTGGTGCAGGTTCAACAGAATGTGATCACAGATATTAGCCCAGACCAACAAATACAATTAGACCTGCAGGTCTACCAAGTTATGATGATACTGTAGCAGGACATGGGTTGGGTGTGAGTTTAGGGTGTGAACTCAGTGTACCTGGATGAGATGCAGGAGTGAAAACTGAAGAGATGTAGCAGGTTATGTTTGAGCCTCATTCACCCACACAGCTGTACTGTATAAAAGAGATACAAGTCAAATGTGCAAATGTATTTAAAGTCTGGATGAGAGTTTGACAGTATGCCTTTATTTTCTCAGTTGGTCCAACATCTGATATATCAGTGAGACAGGGTTATTAGCAGCAGGCTGTTTGCACAAAGTTCAGTTACTAATACTGCAGCGTTACTGAGCCAAATGTGTCATTTTAATTTGCTGGTGATACTTAAGCATGTCTACTACTTTCCCATAATGTTTGGTAGTATATCAGTATCTTTTTATTTTCTCACATCTGAAACGTTAATCCAGTAAAGTTACCAGAGAATGGAGAGCTTTCCTTGCTGTATTACTTGCAGTCAAACATAACTGTTAATATTACATTCCAACATCAGTACGTCTCTATATGTCTACTACTTCTCATACCATCTCATTAGGTTAAACAGTATTATTATCAGTATTATTAACAGTATGTATTATCTTGGCTGGTCCAAAATGTAGTGTTAATCTAACGTTAGTGGTTAACAGAAGCAGGCTGTCAGCATTCAGTTCAACAGTGAGCCAAGCCTAGCCTTCTCTGTCATATATAATATCTATGCTTTGCTGTTTAAGTGTCTCATACCATCTTGACACATGATAGTATGTCAGTATCCTTTGCTTGATTTTAAGGTAACTGTTAGCTTTAGCAGCTTAAGTAACATACTGTATCTTAAGTAAGTGCTAGTTATTAAACACCAGTAACTAGTTGCATGACTCAGTCCATTTGATAGCATGTCAGCATCTCTTCAGTTTTTAAAGTTGATCCAAAAGTTAATCTGGTAACATTAATATTACGTTAACAGAAGACCGGGAGATTGTGTTATTAGCAGCTAGCTAACCGCAGCACTTAGACTGTTACCAGAAGCCAAAAAACTAGCTCTCAAACTGTCAAACTCTGCATTTGCATAGTGAGCTATGATTGGGTTTCAGATTTGTATCATCACAAATTTGGTTTGCATGCAGACGGATTTCTAGGAAGTGGACTGACACTGCCCCCTTCAGCAGAATGATGTGAAAACACCTTGTTAGTGATAAACTGTGTACATACACCAGTCAGTACAGTAGAAGTCTGACATTTTAGGGCATATAAACTTAAAAAAAAACATGTTTTTTAGTTTAGGAGGCCTTTAAGGTCTTTACCCTGCCTAATTGTGTTTCTGCACTAACGCAAATCTTAACTCTAGGAGTTGATATATTTGATAAAGACAAGCCACAGAAGAGAACTGCGTTCTCAAAGCTTTATCTTCTGTTATATGTACTGTACTGTAGCACCAGTGTTTGCAAAATAATAGCTAATACCACCCTTTTCCAAAAGGTAAAACGGTAGAATACCTGTCACTTGCATCACTTATCTAACATAGACTATAAAATTTCTCTCTATCAGCCAGTTGGATTCCAGCCAGTGTATTCTCCTGTTTGAGGCCAGAGGCTGCCTTATTCCACTCTCACACATTCTCCATCACAGCACGATACAGCTGTGCCCCCTGGACTATTCTCATGTTGAGTCATCTTATCTCCTTGCTGGAAGCCATTTATACACAGCTTGTCTTTGCCTCAGCAGTCAAGGACTTGAAAGTAGCAACCTTTGATTTGATTTGATTTATTCTTTCAAGCATGTAAAGACAGTTGATATGACAACACACATGATTGTACACATAATCCAATATCCATTTGCTTATACCTAGTACATGCTTGAATGGAGTAGGAAGAAGTCAGACTTATCCAGTCCTACCCCAAGGACCAACATTCACAACATTGGTTTGCAAGCAGTAAATGATTCTCTTCTACACCACACAAGTATTATA